CTAGCTGACTAATAGTCTTAATTATACCTGCAAAATCCCCTCACAGCAGTACCTAGATTAGTGTTTGACTGAATAATCAGGAGACAGAAATCTTAGGGAGACATTTTTAGAATTTTGCCTACCACTATTACTATATTTCCAATACCCTCTTTTATATTTTCAAACACACTTCCTCATTTTATATTCTGTATTTGACAATTAGAATATCTGTTGTCTGTACTTTGGATTGTCTCTTTTGTTTATGTGGCTCTTGAACAGTATATTTTATGTCTTGGCAGACTTCACAAATTTTGATTACAATTTCTCATGGAGATTTAACTTTAGTAATTCTTCGAGCCCCAGGTTGAAGAAGGTGTTAAACCTTCTTTTGCCAGGTACTTAGGCACATTACCAACCCAGGATTGTTTTAAAGTTTGAGATTAGGGTTTTTTTTCCCCCCACATACACTGGTATTCAGACTTTAGGCCCATAACCCACACAATTACGAATTCTCAAGGGAGATTTTACCCTTCTACCCAGTGCATAGACCAAAACATTAAGGTCCTCTTGATGTTTCCCTTTGTAGGATGGGACTTTTTTCCTCCTGGTTCACATTTTCTCAGAGAATAGTCCTTTGAGATCCTCATATTATGTAGTTTTCCACTCAACCCACAACTTGCTTGGGTCCTCGTTTTGTCTTCCATCCGTTGTTCCCTGTGTGCCTATTGAAAGAAAATTTTGAGATCTCTAGGGATTAGAAGTTGCCACTGCTAATCCTTTTTTAAGTGTCTGGGTTCTTGCTGATGCTCCATCATCTTTTTCTTTTGAAGACTTACATTATATTCTTACTGACACAGGAATGTATGTCATACAATATTTTTTATTATTTGGCTTTAAGATTTACTCCCCCCAAAACTGCCTCTAGTATCTATACAAGTATACTATAAGTAAGAAAATCCCCTTTATTTCTATTTTAAATGCTGTATCTTTTTTTCCTAGGCAAATGAAGATCCCCGTATTTGAAAAAAAAAAAAAACCTTTAATTTCTGCTTTAGTTATATGCTGTTTTACCATTTATCCTTCGGCTATTCTGGTCTTCACTTCTACAATGGGGTCCTGTGGTTTTGATATCTGCATTACAAAACTTGCCTAGTAAATTTTTACTTTGATTAAATTGCTTCATTTCTGAGTAACATGGCTAATGGTGTCCTACAGTAACAATTTTAACTTTTCCTTTTCAGATAATGTCAGAGTACTAAAACTGATCCAGTTTGTTTCGGTTTATTTTTTCATTATTAGTACAACCCTCCCCCTCCTAAAAGTAAAAAAAACAAAAACAAAAACATTTAATTTGCTAAAATCCACATAGTCAAGCAAAGACAGTCATTCATTAACTAAATCAATAAAACTTTGAACAAAAGGATCGCAAAGGTCCTTACCAATATATTTAGCCATGGCAGAGACAAAATAATACATCTAATAATAAATCTTTAAAATATAATACCATGTAGTACACATGTGAAGAAATAGTTAAGGCATTGGGATATTGTTTTAGTAATTTAAAATAGGATTTTAATAGGGTTAGTTAGTAGGGTTATGTAATAGGGTTATTTAATAGGGTTAATTAGTGCCATTGGCTAAAGGTGTACTTCCCGACCTCCCAGGCTGAAAAGAAGAACAAAGCCTTGGATACCAAGTAAGGTGGAAAGAGTGCAGTCACTTGAAAAGAAGGAAGGCTGAATTCTAGAGATGCTGACATGTTCAGAGGCGGTTGAGGGGAGTGAAGGATACACATAAGCCAGTGGAGTCTTCCAAGCACTTGTATGAACAGACAGTAAATAGGCACTTAATGAAATTGCTACTATTATCTAGAAAGATCCAATCCTAAGTAAGACACTGGGATTTAAAGTGACAAAGATTTCTAGTTAACCTTTAAGTAAGAATCAGGATAATAACAAAAACACTATCTACCATAGAGTGGGAGGACAGAGGTTTGTTTGATCATCTGTTCAGATTCCCTTTTGGAAACTTTCAAAGACAATATACAACGTTCAAACTAAAGTAGTTTGAGAACTTTGATGTAAATAGGGCAAATGTGAAATGGATGACTTAAGTCATTTTTGATACAGCAACGAAACAGAAAGATGTAGCAAGAGAATGATACCGCGCACTTAAAATTTTTTTTTATTTTTTTTTTTTTATTTGACAGAAATCACAAGTAGGCAGAAAGGCAGGCAGAGAGAGAGGAGGAAGCAGTCTCCCCGCTGAGCAGAGAGTCCGATGCGGGGCTCGATCCCAGGACCCTGGGATCATGACCTGAGCCGAAGGCAGAGGCTTTAACCCACTGAGCCACCCAGGTGCCCCAAGAAATAGACTTTTATATACATACAATGGCATATTATTCAGCCATAAAAAAGAACAAAATCTTGCCATTGGCAACAACATGGATGGAGCCAGAGAGTATCATGCTAAGGGAAATAAGTCAGTCAGAGAAAGACAGAGATACCTCATGATTTCACTCGTATGTGGAATTTAAGAAACATAAAAATAAAATAAAGGGAAAAAAAGAAAGACAAAACAAGAAATAGCCTTTCTTAAAAAAAGATTTTATTTACTTATTTGACACAGAGAGAGAGCGATCACAAGTAGGCAGAGAGGCAGGCAGAGAGAGAGGGGGAAGCAGGCTCCCCGCTGAGCAGAGAGCCCGATACGGGACTCAATCCCAGGACCCTGGGATCATGACCTGAGCCGAAGGCAGAGGCTTTAACCCACTGAGCCACCCAGGTGCCCCCTTAAACAAATTTTGACTAAGTATTATTTTTCCTGTACTGACAGCTGTTGGAAGTAATTCATTAAAATGATTTAAGTTGAAATGCTTATATTATTTTCTTGAGAGCAAACTTACTCATTCTAATTTGAAAAGTCATTTCATTTTTCATAATTAAAATGTATTCATCACACAATATAATTCAGCAGTGATAAATTGAATGACGGAAAAAAGCCAAAAAGAAATACTATTGATCATAAGTAAATGTGCAACATATGATAAGGAAAGAAACAAGTGAACAGAGGGAACTTAGAAGATATACATAAAGAAGCACTGTATTTTAAGGTTTAAATGGACAACTTTTTAAAAAATTATAAATTTTGCACTAATTAATAAACAAATAATGGACAATCTATCATATAGTTTTTTAAAGAAATGTCTTCCTTTTTAAGAGACTTTTTATTATATTTTATTTTTAAGAACAACTTTATAAATACTATCCTTTGCAAAAAAACCCAAACCAGGCCTGATTATTTCTGCAAAGTTTAAAAATACCAAAGGTATTTTCTTGTTCTGTCTTCCTTTTTATTTTTAGTGTGAGAATTGTTATGTTTTAACTTCTCCCTCTTTTCCTGACTGCACATGCAATATTTTGTTTTTGATTGTCATTTTTCTCCCTGTAAGTCTGATTTTGGAATGTCAATAGACCTTATTCCTCTTCACATCCTGAGTATTAGGAGACTAGTCTCTTTCCACTGTTGTTTGAATGTTCAGATCTCTTTTCCTTTCCTTTTTGTTTGCCCATGAATAATTTATTTTTTCTTTTGTAAATTTTTATTCTTATTTTCTATCTGCTATTTCACCTCAATGTTGGTAATAATGGAGTTACATGACTTTTCTTGTCTCTATACATAGTGAAAATTCATTTAAATTTCTGAATCTCCTTTTTTTTTTTTTTTTAAGATTTTATTTATTTATTTGACAGAGAGAGAGATCACAAGTAGGCAGAGAGGCAGGCAGAGAGAGGGGGGAAGCACGCTCCCTGCTGAGCAGAGAGCCCGACATGGGGCTCGATCTCAGGACCCTGAGATCATGACCCGAGCCGAAGGCAGAGGCTTAACTCTCTGAGCTACTCAGGTGCCCCTGAATCTCCTCTTTTTACATATGACACTATGTATTTCTATTTTTTAATTTTTTAAAATTTATTTATTTTTTATTTTTTGAGGTGGGGGCAACAGTAAAGGGAGAGGGAGAGAGAATCTTAAGGAAGCTCCAGGCCCAGCGTGGAGCCTGCCATGGGGCTCGATCTCACGTCTCTAAGACTATGACGTGAGTTGAAATTGAGTTAGATGCTTAACTGAATGAGTCACTCGGATGCCCCTGACTTTATATATTTCTGAAGTAAGATAAATACTTAAGCAAAACTGTTATACATACACATAAATGTGTTAATAGTTTTATAGTGTTTAGCTTTCTTTTATAACTATACTGTGTTAACGATGAAAATCATAGCAAGCATTATTCACAGCTCTACAAAATGCATTTCTTAGTGCATTGAGATATTAAAGATGTGAATTATATTAATCTAACATAGGGCTAAGTAGAAATTAATCTTTATCCATGAGTTTTCTTTTGTTTAGTGAATTCAACTATAATTTTGAAACTACTAATTCAATTTTAATTTTCATACTATATGCATACATCAAGAATAATCTGGTACTTTTTAAAATGAGAGAATGTGTATTTCAATCAGATTAAACCTTTTTTCTGCACCACCAGCTGGCCACAGTTTTGGGTTTTTCAACAAATTCCCTTCAACAACACTAAAGAAATGATTTATACAAGTACCTAATTAATCGGTATATTTTATTTCCTATTTCTATGGGAAGTTTCTAAAATAATAAATTGATGTTTGAAATGCTACATCAAACCCAAACTGTAAAATGAAGCAAATCACCTAATCTCTTTGAAGGTCATGTAATAGATTACTCTTATGTTGAAGTAGGATGCATATGGTCCATGAGCAAAATCTCAGCTGTGGGCTTCTTGGTAAAGGCATGTAGATGCTGTTTGGTTGCATCTCAAAGGGATTGTGAACTCTGGGTTATGAGGTTTTGGGTGTTTCCTGGAACCACAGTAGTGACATAACGACTAACTTAGATGTGTCATCAATTTTCCAATGCCAAGTCTGCAGTGAATTCTCAATGGTTCTCAAAACTCACCGTACAACAGTCAGTCATAGGATTCATGCTTGTCATGGCATAGTCTCATTACTGATTGGTGGAGCCCAGGAAGGGTAAGTAGAGAGGTCAAACATAGCCCCAATCCAGGTGGACATGCCCAGCATCACCACAGCAACACCCACAATGTTAACACCAAGTCCAGCTTTAACCTTGAACAGGAAAAAGCATAAATATCAGTTTTCTGAAGAGAAAACTTATAGGAGAATCAGAATACTATAGCAGAAAGTATATGTCAGATTTATATGCATCATAAATGATTAGTATAAATTGTCATTTCATGAAACAATGAGTTCTTCCATTCATGTCAAAAGAGACTCTGTCCCCAACTAAATGACATTTAGTTGGAGATTCTAGGAGGTCCCTCTTAGGAATATAATGGAGTCATTATGATACAAAAAAAAAAAAAAATCCCTTTAAAAATTTGTCATTGCATGTTAAATCCGAATATGAGTTTTGAGGTCTTGTATTTCAGTGGATAAGGTTCAGGTCACTATATGATAACTGGATCCTTCATATTCACTCAATACTATTATTAGTTTAGCCTTCAGTATTCTCTTACTGAGATTTAATAAAAATGCCACTTCTATTCATCTTCCTTAGAGTTCTCATTTTTCTGGTTCTTATATCATCACCCTGGCATCCACTAAAAATTTCAAATTTGCTTTCTATCCATTAAAACAGAGGTCGGCAAACTACTGCTCATGACCTGTTTTGGTAAATTAAGTTTTATGCCACCACACCCATGGTGATTCCATATTGTTGTTGGCTGTATTCATGATACAATGGCAGAACTGAGTCGTTGTGACAGAGAGCATATGGCCCAGAGTGTCAAATATTTATTTTCTCTTTCCAGAGAAAGCTTGCTTATCTCTGCATTCTCTGTATTAAAACATAGAGCCCCAAAGCAAAAGGGGATACCTAGCAATGATTATTACAGAGGCCCCCTTTATTATCCACGTAAGCCACTCATTTATTCTGGAATCCTGGCTCTACTTTTTTAAGTTCACATACACTGGACACTGGTTATATTATCTTATGCACAACTTTTTTTTCAAAAGGATATTATGTGACTTCTGCATAGAGACCTTTCCAGAGTTTTCACATTGCAGGGGGGTAGGGACAGCATTGTGTGTGGAAGGAGAGAACTGGGACTTACTTGGAACTGCATTTGCATGTAAGCTCACTGAATTTACTTCGTTATATTCTTGTTTGGTTTGGAAGTTGGTAATCAAGATTGGTGGTAGACTAGACTATTCTCAAGCTAGTCCTGGACTACCATGACTTTTGTATTGGCAAAAATGCCTATGTTTTATCACTTAAATGTCCCATTATTTAGGTGCCACTATTAGAATCAAAACAAGAAAGATGAACTTTCATTGGCAGGTACTGAGTCCGGTGTATTGTTTGAAGCAAGTATTGGTTGCAAAATATTTGTGACAGAAAACCAAAGTGCATGATTGCCGAATTTCATTAATCCTATTTCTTCCTTTTGCCTATGTCAAACTGGATCCTGATCTTGACATGTAAGTTTCAAGCCATTGTGCTAAACATATTCTATGTTCTTTTCATTTTTTTAGGACATTACTGACGCATTCAGTATCTCTATATTTGTGACTGTGAATTCAAATGGCAAGTTTGCTTCGGTTATCATTCTTAAAAACAATTCTGTGACCAATCATGTACTCACCTTTAGAAGCAGAACTCAAGCCAGGCTTTTCCTGGCAGCTGATTAATGTGTAAAAGGATTGATAACCCAAGACATCACACATAAAAATGTCTACTGGATCTGACTGCTATCTTTCAGCTCACTCACCATATCAATAACTTTTAGATGGCCATAGGAAAAAACAATAGCATTGGGCGGATTTGCTACTGGAAGGAGGAATGCAAATGAAGTACACAGAGTAGAAGGTAACAAAATATAAAGAGGGTTCACTTGAATGGCTTCAGCCTGTTGGAAAAGATAAAAAGGAGTCTAAGTAAAATTTTGAGGTAGACACCAAGTATCAAAATGAACAAAATCATTATGATAAGCTTTCCCAGAAGCAGGTTAAAATCTAAACATAATACTGTACACACAAATGCAGTTATGACTTGAAGAGTATTTTTCAGAAATGTCTCTTCCTCTTATTTTTTTATACGGTTATTGGTGCCCATTTAAGTAGTACAGATCATTTAGAAAATAAAGTATCATTTATTCCAGGAACTAAATAAAAACAGAAACAATTTATTATTTATCTAGTGCTAGGTGCTCTGTGTGTGTGTGCATTTATGTAAAGTAACTGAATTTTCCCAATGACCCATAAGATGGCTACTATAGCCCCAAATAACAGACGAAGAAACTAAGGCCCAGAAAAGCTAAAGTAACTTATCCAAACACAAAGCTGGCAAGCAGGAACACTTATGAAGGGTCGTGGGTCCCTCTGGCTCCAAAGCTTCTCATTATTCCATTAACTTTTCTGCCTCTATGCCATATATAATTTAAAATTGGCTTAGGGATCATCACAGAAGAAGAATTACTACTATTCTTAATTTATCACATTATTTTCTAACTGTGCCATGTTGAGAAGTAAAAGATATTTTACCCATATAAACTGTCTACATTTCTTCTCTAACATGAAGCAGCAGCTCAAGAATGCTAACATATGCCCCTTGAGCTGTAGAGGAACAATTCCAGAAGGGCAATCCTTCTTAATTTAAAGTGCTATCCTCTCACCACACTCAGGTGTCCCAATAAGAAACACATTTTACCTCAGCTATTTCTTGTAATTGCTAGCTAGGTGGGGAGAAAAAAGGAAGATTGTCTTTTCCTCTCTCTCCTTACAAATCTGCTTTTCACTTATCTTTTAAAATTATTTCCTGGGCTGTAGAAAACTGTATCTAAGATATTTAAGCTTAAAGCCTGAAATGTAAGCCTAGCTCTTCATTCACTTGCAAATCATTTATATGAACCACTTCTCCGAAATTGAGGAATAATCTGGAGGGGGAAGTGTCAGTGTTAGAGATCTAAATACTGAAGTTGCCGGGAAACATGGACTCCCAAAGTCTTACAGTTGGAAAGGATCTAGGCAGACCCTCCCACTGTGTGTGAATGAAAAATCTGGGCAGAGAGAAAGTATTTGGTTCTCTTAAGATCCTGCTGCTTGAATGTGGAAGAAAAGAGTTCTCCTGAGTTAGGCCTCCTAAAAATGTATTAATGCAAATAAAGATCACTCTGTAAGTTACTTATAGGAAGATCATACATGCCAAAAATTGATTCTATACTACAATATGAAAACCAGCAAAGTAGAACACTACTCTTTGGATGGGTATAAAAGCAGATGAATGAGATACTCACCAATGGAGATAATATAGGGAGAAGAAGGGTAATGGTAGCTGGATTGCTGGCTACCTCTGTTAAAGATGTGACAAGCAAAGAAGATATTAGAATGATTAGCCATACTGGTAAGGAGCCTAGAGGAGATAATTTATTTCCTATCCACTTAGATAGTCCTGACTCCTAAAAAAAGAAAAAAAATTGCAATATTATTCATTAGCAATTCATTTTAAGCAGACACAATTTAAATGTATAAATTCTATCACTTGCTCTAAGAACTCCATTTCTAAAGTTGAAGTTTAATCTTCCATATTTTTTCATGGTTTGGAAGATCTAGGTCGCTTTGACATGGAGGAGCTCTCAATTATTCTTATTTTAATATTACTGATATGCTTTAGGAAATTTGAATAGTCTTCCCACATTTTTTCAATTAAGTTTTATCCAATTAATATATATGGATATTTTGGCAAGTCATTTGGTACTATAGGGCTTTAGGAAAATGGCAGTCCTCTGGTCTACCTCTCACATCTCCTAAGTTGTGTTCTCCAGAGGCAACTTTCAACCCCTATTAGCTATTTATGGCTACTTTTTAAATTATGCCTTTTCCTCATTTTCAAATTGAGACATTATTTACTGACTAACATGTTACATAAGGATTTAGCTTTCTTACGCAATCTACCATACATATATTTCCTGTCCCTTTATTTCTTTTACTTATATATCAACATTTTTAATTAAATCAATGTTTAAAGTTTGCCATTATGAGTATATGAATATTACTCATACCTGAGTCACTTAGTGTACTGTGATTATGCTAAAACTATGTTAAAGGGCATTTAAGAGACAGGGAATTACAAAGAGTTGATGCTTTAGTAGCTAGCGGCTATCTTCTCCCAAACAGAAGAGTTATCTAGTTATGGCCATTTGCCAAACTAATTACAGTTTGAAACAAAATTTTAGAAGAGTTAATGTCTCCAAATCTTTGTAACACATTTTTGAAGCTCATGGCTTCAGTAAACCTACTCAAGAGTAGGGTTATTCTAGATATCCCATAGAAATTCAATTCTATGTATTAGGAACTTCAAGACTCCCCTCCAGGGTTTTCCTAGTTCTGCCAGTGAGAGAGCCTAGTGTATCAGAAGAAGTCTGTGACTTCTCATTTTCTTAGATTTTGCAATTCTAGGGTCTGGCCAATGCTTTTAAAATCCCTTTGAGTATCTGGAGTCCAATTCACACAGAAATTCTGGGAAGCAGAGATTGACAAATTTCATATCAATGTCAAAATTGCTGATTCTTATTCCCTCACAATTCAAATTATCAGTCAAAAGAATGGAAGTTATTGATTCTCAGAAACCAGATCTCATTCTTGCTGTAATAGTAGAAGAGTTTATTTGCCTTATATATCTATCATTTACATTTGAGTGGTCTATGAGGCAAGCCGAATCTGATGTAAAACAACATTGTAAGTGGCACTCAGAATGGAGACAATTTCAAAGATTTTCACCCCTTACTAAATCGTATAGCTGAGAGTTCAGTGTCCAAATACCATACAGAAAAAATGACAATGAAGTCAGAAGCAAAAAAGTCTCCCTATAGGCTATTACGAAGATAGTGGATAGTTATTTGTCTTGAGAAAACTAAAAAATTAACTTTCCAGAAACTAAAAGCCTGGACCACAACACCTCTCTCTCACTATCCTTTTTACTTTGATGACTGAATAAGGAAATGGAACAGCTATGAGCTTTAAGTGTTTCACAGAAGGCTGTGAAATACAGAAATGAGAGGTTTTTAATGAGTCAAAGAGTAAAAAATTTTCATGGACTTTTTGAGAAGATACTTTTCTTCTAAAGAGTCCTACAATGACTTCAAGTGACAAAGGCCTCCCTAGACTTGACATTTTTGTAAACTGGATAGAGGATAAGCCAAAGAAATAGCAACTTTATTCCTCACGGTGGTTTTATTTCTTCCTAAAATTGGACATAATATAATATTAGCCATAGTTATGTAAAATTCTCTCTGGACTTCATTCAATAAACATGTAAAAAGTACCTTTAATGTACTTAATATGCAACAGAGGTTTTTTTTTTCCCCCCCTTGGTATTTGACAGAGAGAGACAGTAAGAGGGGGAACAAGCATGGGGAGTGGGAGAGGGAGAAGCAGGCTTCCTGCTGGGCAGGGAGCCTGATGTGGAGCTTGAACCCAGGACCCCGGGATCATGACCTGAGCCAAAGGCAGACACTTAACGACTGAGCCACCCAGGCTCCCCCTTAATATGTAATAAATAAGTGAGTAATAAAGTACTGTTTTTTCTTACTCTCTTTCTTTGACAGCCTTAGGGCTATCCTATATTGAAGCAGACCTATTGAGTAGGTCTCTGACCTACTCAAATTCATCATGAAAGAGGCGCCTGGGTGGCTCAGTAGGTTAAAGCCTCTGCCTTCGGCTCAGGTCATGGTTCCAGGGTCCTGGGATCGAGCCCTGCATCTGGCTCTCTGCTCAGCAGGGAGCCTGCTTCCACCTCTCTCTCTCTCTCTCTCTCTCTCTACCTGCCTCTCTGCTTACTTGTGATCTCTGCCTGTCAAATGAATAAATAAAATCTTAAAAAAAAATTCACTATGAAATAAGGATAAAGTTATGAACAAAATGTTTTGCTAGGAATCATTGTACGTATGATTTTTATATCTTTTTTCTTACTTAGCTAATTTTCTAATACTATTTTATGGAATAAGAATTCTAATGCTCTAATCTTTGGGGCATCTGGGTGTCTCAGTCAGTTAACAGTCTGACTCTTGATTTTGGCTCCAGTCATGATCTTAGGGTCGGGCTCTGCACTCAGCATATTGCTGCTTAAGAATCTCTCTCTCCCTCTCTGCTCCTCCTGGCCTACCCCACGCTTACTTTCTCTCTGTCTCTTAAAAAACAGTGTGAGAATTCTAATCTTCTTTGCTTTATTCCTTTTGCCATATTGGGGCAGCATTAAAAAAATGATGGTTTATGCCTACAGCCTGTAAAAATTACTAAACTCACTTCATCTGTGTAGTATAATTAATGCATGGCTATTGAAATCTGCATCATTAAAATGACAGGCTAAAGTTGAATATGCCAAAGCTTGAATATCTCCTGTTCTTTTGAAAAGTCTAGTTAATTGTTGAATGTCTTAGGCACAGAGTATTACCTCACAGCCGTCTGCCAAGGCAAACCCTCCACCAACGAGAATGGCTATGTCCCAGGGCATGAATGACTGGAATTCTTTCCAAGTAATCAGTGGTGAATAATCAAAAGCAACTGCAAAAACACAAGTCCTGTAGTTTATACATTGCTTAAAATATGACAATATGACATTTTTCTCTATTATCCTAAATCACCATCTCATAAGAATTTTTTAATATTCCTATATTGTTTATAGATAGGGAACTTGATTTAGACTTTGAGTAATTTCTACCGGGCTGAGGTGGAACACTGTGTTACAAAAATGTTTTTAAAAATGTCATAACTTGGAAAAATTCATTGGATCATAAAATAGAGTAAATTTAGATAGATTATAACATTGTCATTTATTAATGCCACTCATTCATTTATTCAAGCATTCATTCACTCATTCATTCATTTCATTCATTGCACTAACATCTTTGCCTCCTATGGGCAATGCAGTGTGTCGAACTGTACTATTTTTTGCTATGCATAATGTAATGTGCCATTGGTTCTAATATCAGTATAATATTATAATTTTATTCACTAATATTTACTTGAATATTGCTTTTTTTCCAAATCATGAGGATGGTCATAATAGATTCATCAGGATTTCAGTTTAAAATCAAAGCTCAGATTAAATAATTTAAGTATCATTCATAAAACTCTTAAAATTCTTATAAAGTAATTATCATAAAGATTTCTCTTGATAGTTGGGTCATAATGACTCATTTGATTTATTGAGAAAAAAGGCCATCCATGAATATATTATTTCCACTTAACATTTGTGTGTAACAAGCAGCCTTCTACATGGTATGATTTTAGGGTTACTAATGAGATTTTTTTCTATTTCCTTCCCCCAAACCTAAACCAAACCTACAATCACCATTGTTGGAAATTTTGCTATTTCTTACTTGAATTAAGGCATACATCCTGTTAAAATGCAAACATCTCTGAAATCTACCTCTCATGTAAAATTTAACATATAATGTCTTATTTTTCATTTTTAAACCTAGTGTGGATGAGTTTATCAGGGAGAATAGGAGTTGAAGAATGAGAAGAGAGAGAATGGTGGATAGAGGTATGGGGTCCAAGTGCAGGCTGCCCCAATATGGGCCACTTTGGCATGAACATTATTATGAGTTAAAAGCAATCAAAACCCAGAAGATTCAGAAAAAGCTCTGGGCCTACCCCTCAACTACCTGCTTGTACCAGGAAGAGAGAGGGATTAATAAAGATTCCTCTTTACCTAAGAAACTTAACTGCATAATTAGGCACCCTTTGTTTTCCAAATGTCTCCTTTTGCCTTCCCACTAATGGTCTTTCTTCTCTTTGTATCCTCAGACCCTTAACCCTCTTCTTAGCTCATATATGAGTGATATTGCTTCATTGTCTTTGGAATTTCCATGTCTGTGTGGATTCCCTGTATGTACACTACTATATTTGACTTTCTACCATTAATCTGTCTTATGTCAACTTGATTCTTAGTCCAGCAAGAAGGATCTTGAAGGGCAAAGAAAATTCTTTCTCCCCAACAAATCAAAGTTCTTTCTGAGAGGGGGATCCAGATGTGGGAGCCAGGAAATTTAAGCCAAGAATTGGTTCTTCAACACTTGCCATTGGCAGGCCTTAGGACTTTGACTGCAATGGTCAATGTCCTCAGAGTCTCATAGAAATTATTTCTCTGTACTTTTATATCTCCTTATAACATACTTTGAGATATCCTAATTTCAAGTAATGAACAAATGGCATTTATATCAATGTTATGTTATTTACATATGTGATGTCCTAGATATCTGACTCAGTCATTTATTAATTTGGACTCAGGATGTCAGGTGTGAAACCCAACTGCATGAATACCAGTTCCATCCAAGTGAAAAAAGGAGGAAAAGAGAGAAATAAAAGAAAACCCAACAATAAAAAAACCCACAACTCTACTAGACTATTTCTAAACAATTTTAAACTATTTGTCCCACAATAACAGCACAGGAATCTGACTACCCAAAACAAGCTGTATTAGTATAAAGCACAGATATAAATGAATCCTATGTTTTAAAATTTGTGTGTGTTAGGAGAAGGAAGGTATGTTCACATAAACATATTTTTTGTCCATGTATTACAAAGACAAAGAATGCTCCCCCTGAAATACCTTGTCTCTCATTTGTGACACTAGGTTCTGGCTAAGTGTGGGCTTGATTTGCATTCTCTCCAGGATTACTATGACGCTGTAAATGCTCTTTCCCTTGAAACTCCTCACCTTTTTAGATCCTTAGCATTTATTACCAAGGGCTCATCATGAAGTGTGACTTCCAAGTTCTCATTCCTATGTTTGCCAATAGTAAGATTAATTCTGATTATGGCAGGGAAAGTGGGCTTATTGTGGACCACATAGTGTCACTCGAAGTGGAATTCTAACCATGGTGCATAATGAAATCTACTTCTCACTTCTGCCAAGTAAGATGATCCTTCTTGTAGGGGGAGGACATGTGCTAGTTGAATAAGGGTTGTAGTGTGCACACAGGGCATCCTAAGTCAGGGGCTATGTGAGCATGTCCATTCCTCCTGTTCTAAGTGCTAACTAAAACTAACTGAATTTTGTAATTTTTGCAGAATTTTTGTAATTCTGTCAAATTGATTCAGAATTATAAATAATACTCAACCAATTTCTCCTGTAGGTGTAGTTTTAGTCAATTTCTTAGCTGGGATAAGAAAGAATAGGATTCCTATAAGTAAGGCAACAGTTGAATCTGTAGCAAAACCAGGATACCTGAAAAAGGACAGATGTGTACATTAAAAAATGGCATCAAAATTTGTATGAGCTGAACAGCAATTGACTATGCTATTGGCCTATAAGTAGTAGTTATGGTAAAGGTTAGTTATTCTGGATAATCTGTCCTAAAATCTATGGATTTTCAACCAAATTTCCAACCAAGCCAAAAATCTCAGACCATGTTCCCGTTGTTTCCATATATGTCTTCTTATTTTCAAAACCATGAATACATATACTGACATACTAGTCCTACAGGCAAATTTCTTTTTAGGTAAAGCTTAAGGATTTGGTAAACAATTTTTTCTTTGTATTATTTCCTTTCATTATACTGGCAGAGAACTGAGACAAAAACAATTACTAGACTAGGCAAAGCCCTAAATAATTGTTGTGTAACATCCTACTATTGAATTGTGGCAAGGAAAGCGTGTTTCTGGAGTCCTCTAAAACTCTTCTCTAAATTATGAAAAGAAATTGATCTGTTTTTTTAAGATATAACATCTGCTACTGTGATTATAGGGCCCAGCCATATCATATAAATGAAATCAACCCATTTAATGCTTTGCACCCTATGAAACTCAATCAAGAATATTAATTATTAGAATGGTTTATGAGATGCTCATAAATGATTGCTATACAAATTAAGAGTGATTCAGGAACAGATGGGGTCTTAGAATCACCAGGCCATTTCAGCAAGTAAGACAGGCTCCCAGAAGCCTCAACAGTTAAGAAGCACCTGGAAACCAGCTATGAATGAAACAGACATAAATAATTAGAACTCAGTTTTAAGATTCAGCAATATTAACTAGAATCTTTGTAGTCTGAGATGCATGTGTACACCCTAGAGGTTATTTTGCTCCCTTGTAACTCAGTAATGGGTACATACTATAGACACTACTCTCTACTTCTGTGATTTACTTGAGCAGTCTAAATAATCAAGGAAGTGTATTATTTTATTCAATCTGACAACTTTATAAACGAGTTTGTTTTCCTTAAATATGGATTTTATTTATTTTTTGCTGAGGAAAAATCTGTCTTGGTATAATTTATTCAACAAACTTAACCAATATTTATTATTTTATTGCTCCTTATTGCTTTTATTTGAGCTGTAATTTTTTTATGGTATTTTTGCCAAATTAGGTCAGGGATCATGTAATCTGATTTTGTTTTATATGAAAAGACACATTGAATTCAGTCCAGGTTCAAACAGATGGGATGAAAACATTAGGTGGTAGTTATAAATCTTGATATATCATTCTAGTTTTGGAAATTCTAAATGCTTAGAATCTCTGTATTACAAATATATTCTACAGAAGACACTTTAAATAAAATCAAGCCATAAATGCTGAAGTAATTTTGTTCCAAAGACTTTTAAAACCATAATTATTTTATTATTAGTTTATTTTCATTTTATTTTTAGTTTATTATGAACAAAGGCTGTCTCACTATTACAAAATATTAAGGTTACACAAATTTTATTTGCTCTGGCAATTTATGAATCAAAGTTGATCAGATTTGTATCCTCAAACCACTTCTCTTAAACCTTTGTTCCTTCTCCCATTGTTTTCTCTCAGAATTCTAGGTAACACAAGCACCCGCCTATAGCAAACATACTCTGTTCTACTGCAAGCGAAATATCTCCTGAATTACACTTTCCTTCTGTAAGGAATAGAAATTAGAAACTGATTATATTGAATTTCCTACTGGGCTTTCTTCCTAGTTTTTATTAGCTACTGTCTGATTTCATTGGTTTTTACACACTGGTGTTTAGAGAATGCTCTCCCTACCTAACATAATTGGAGTGGGATTTTAAAAAGGAAAATAATTACTTTACGTTGGTTTAGAACCTATTACAAAACTAAAAAGTAACACTCAAATTGTTAAATGATAGTTGGCTATGAATAGTTTGCATTGAATAACTGGATGCTGCGTTTTATTTAGACTTTTCAAAGGGAAAAGTCCTAGTTCCAAACAAAAAGTTGATCAACTGAAGCCGATCCTTTGAAACATGCTACCATATCGCGTTGGTGCACTTGTGTTTCACCAGGAATTTGCACACAGACTTTGCACCTTTAAAAAAATGTTGGCAATGCCTACATAGCCATGAGGCCCCGGTTCAAGAAGAGAGGGAATTCTTTATTCCCTGTAGGCAGAATACTTTGAACCCAAACAATTTTGGTTTCTGTCCCCACAAACATGGATTCTTACTGTGGGATGTGAGACAGGAAGTCATCATCAGAGATCTGCTCAATCTAGGAACTCGAGTACTTCAGTGAAAAATGGATTAACAATACAAATTTCAAAACCAAAGTATTTATATTGATATGTAGGATGGTCCTTAATTTAGAAAAATCACACTATCATCATCCCCCTCACTTTATATGACTCAGCATGACTGCTGGTCTAGAAGACACTGTGAGATAAAATTAACTCAACCCAGCTTCTAAGATTAGTTTGTACAATCAGTCTTATTACTTACTCGGGAATTCCTTATTTACAAAGTAGGGGTAGGGATAGATTTATAGTGAACTAGCATAAAAATGAACATAATTAGAATAAAAAACACAAGATAGTGAACTGAATAAAAAAATAAGTTGGCAAAAACCAAAGAACGTGAATCCATATCAGGTTATTAACAAGGATGGAGTGGGATTTATCTCACATAATAAACATTTATATTACACTTAGGTAGGGAGAATGGCAGCACCATTGTTAAGTGCCATTATTTGCTTCATCTTACAGATGAAGAAACTGATCGGCAAGTGACTTGCCCAAAGTGGAAGAGCCAACCCAAGCACAGAACACGGCTTTCTGATTGCATTCCTAATTATGTAAGGATGGAAACAGCATTGTCTAAAGGAGCCTGACTTTTAGTTACAGTGTATATGATTATCTTATCTGCAGTCCTACCCTGGATTTCATTCTTTACCATTTTCCTTCCTGGGAAGATTACAATTAAACATACTTTTCAATGGAAATAAAGGAAAAGAATCCCATACAATCTTTCAGAGTTATAGGAACCACCAAGGAGAGAAACAGAATAAAACAGGAAGGGTTGAAAATACGGAATGCTTACTTGGGAAAAAGTGCAGACCAACCAGAAATAAACCCAGGATCTCGGCTAAACCACAGCAGAGCCATTACAACGAAGAGCACCAAGGTCACAATTTCCTGATACCTGTGGGAAAATTCCAATCCTTTTGTTTATCTTCTCAGTCAGGGTATTTGTACAAACTCCCTAAGCTACTGGCAGAGCAATCTTAGCAGAACACTAAACACTAAAAACCAGATGATTCTATGTCAGTAATTTGAGAGAATCTGCACAGCTAGAAAAAGACTTGACTCCTCTGTGGGTCTTTGGCTGCTTTTCATTCTATCTGGTAAATTTTAGTTAGACGAAAGTACACATTTTGTTATGCTGAGTTATATCTACAACAGTCAGCATGTTCAAGGCCCTTACCAGGTGTTCTAAATACACTACAGATGATTACGTGCATGTTTAGCTTTAAACAGATACTTGCAGTATAAGCAGCATGTATCCGTGCGCGGGTGTGTTTGCCTGTGCACCTGCGTGCATGTGTGTCTTACCTCAGTGGGCCAAGTTTTTGGTATTCTTGTTTAATCACCTCAGCACAAGCTTTTTGTTTGGCGGTTTTGGTCTTGCCACATTTGAACATCTCCTTAAAACTGAAAAGAATAATGGAGACTGTTAAGCAAAGAAGTCTCCCTTTATAGAAGAGATTTGCGTGAAAGCTTTATAAAATACTAACCTCCTTGCCAGTAACAGCAATCTGTGCATAATGCCTATACTTCCATCCCCTTCTTCGAATGTCCTCTCTCCTTTTTCCTGTTTGGCCTGGTTTGCTCAATTTTCAAGGGTTAATTTTTGTTCCATATTTTCACACCTCTTACCCTGATGTCTTCCAAGTCTGTTCACACTATTGGAATTTTGCCACGTGTGGCTCATCTCCAATTGAACACTTTGCTATATACCTGATTGTTACAGATGTTCATTTCTTTATTGTCTATCTTGATAGTCAATTGCTACCCATGTGTAAGTTTTCTCTTGCTAGTTAGATAATGAATTACTGGACGGCAGGGCAGAGTCCCCGATATTTGCTCTGGCACAGTAACTCTCAACACGGGCACATACTAGAAATATGTGACTCATCAACTCCATAGTACCTTGCTCAGATTGAAGAGACAGCTGGTTGTCGGATCCATCAGTCTGCCCAGAATACACAGGACTCAAGCCACTAGGCAGAGTGGTCACTGGAGCAGAGAATTCACGTACACTGCTTGTGAGCGGAGTCTACGCTAGATCTCTTAGAACGAAAACCAACTCTATAACATTTTTTTCTTCAATTTCTTTATCCCTTATGCCCTAATAGAATCCACTAGATAGTTTTCCATCTACTGTCAATACTAACTGCCAGTCTCTCTTTCTTTCAGAGGCTGCTTTCAGTTACACCTTTCCCTTGTGACTAACTTTTCTTTCCTGAAGTCCAGGGTCTAAAAAAAAAAAAAAAAAAAAAAAATTTTTTTTTTTTTTTTGTGAAGTACTGCTCTAGGATTAGATTTTAAAAAAATCCCTCCAGGGGAATAAACAAATGAGCAAATGGTTCAATTCTTATGTTCTATCTTTTGGAATGTCTATAAGTAGCTCATTCAGATTACTTTATGTGTGGGTAAGGAAGGCATTTCTGAGTGTATATCCTAAGGAACTGAAATCTGGATCTGAAGAGATAACTGCACTCACATGTCTACTGCAACATGATTCGCAGTAGCCAAGATACGGAAACAACACAGATGCTCACTGACAAACAAGTGGATAAAGAAAAAGTGGCACAGAAAGAAAAGAAAAGGTAATAAATACATACAATGGGCAATAACTCGGCCTTAAAGAAGCAGGAAATCCTGCTGTGTATAACAACACAGATGGACTTGGAGGACATTATGCTAAATGACATAAACCAGACACAGGAAAACAAATATTGTAAGATCTTATACGTAGAGTCTAAAATAATCAAACACATGAAAACAGAGAGTAAAACAGTTGTTTCCCAGGAAATGGAAGGAGATGGAAATGGGGAGGTGTTTATCAAAGAGTACAAAGTTCCAGTTATGAAAAATAAGCGAGTTCTGGAAATCTATTGCCTAAAATAAGGCCTGTGATTAACAACAGTGTATTGTATACTTAAAAATTTACTCAGAGGGTTGGTCCTATGATAAGTGCTTTTACCATAAAAGGAAAAAAAAACCCTCAAAAAGCAAAAGGGGCAAGAGGAAACTTGGAAGGTGATGGAAAAGTTGATGGCCTTGGTTGATGGCCATGGATGATGGTTCATGAGCGTATATGTATCTCCAAACACATTAAGTTGTATACATTAAATATCTATGGCTTTTTGTATGCCAGTAATACATCAATAAAAGCAGTTTTAGAAAAAGAAAGAGTGCAGGATAATGCTGTCATGTAAAATTGCTGGACTAAACATGGATATATATGAGGGAGAAAATAGGAAGACTAAGATGGTATGAATGTAGCTATCCCACAAAGACATTTTATTTACTTATTTTTTCTGTAGCTCTGCTACACAGACTTGTTCAAAGGAACAGAGTTTCCCCAATTCTTAAGTCATCCATCCTACACATTCAAAATCATTCTCCTGTGCACACTCCAACCACTGAACATTAGATGTATGTTGTTATATTTAGGATCCTTGAAGTAATATTTAATTTTTGTAATCTCAACTAAAATACTGGCTAGTGCCAGTCTTGAAATTTTACCCCTTGTCACAATATAAATACTAGTATTATAAGAAACTGAGCCATGGACTACTTTGAGATCCTACTGTAGAACAGAAAAGTAGAATTAAAAAAATAGGTGAGTCTTGGGGCACCTGGGTGGCTCAATAGGTTTAGCATCTGACTCTTGGGTCATGATCTCAGGATCATGAGATCGAGCCCCATATTGGGCTCTGTGCTGCTTGTGGAGCCTGCTGAAGATTCTTTCTCTCCTGCTGCCCCCTCCCCCTGCTCCTTCTTCCTCCTTAAAAAATGTTTTCCACCTGGTAGACTGCACATGTACCTGGTCTCTTTGGTTGGGGATGATAAATAGTTAAATCGAAAGCTATGCTGGCTTTGCTACAAATGAAGGTTAATGCCCTCACAAAGGAACCGATGAAGCATATGAAAACGCATCTAGCTCTTCATTTAAACAAGTTCAGTGGCGCTGATAGATGAGCTTCTCCCTCCAGGTATGTTGGGGTCGTTTACAATGGGTGAGTTAACTGTGTTAACAGCCAACACACTAACCAGAATGTATGGCCGCCTGCCAGGGGAGTGGCTGATAATTTCTGTGTGTTGATCTAAAACCTCTGGAGGTGAAGACCCTGACTGGCTGAAATGGACACTGAAAAATTAGCCAGAGTGGGAAGCTATGTAACCAATCTAACCGATTGCCCACACAACGGGACTATTTAACTATGCCACTGATCATGATTTATGGATTTATCTAATGTATGCACTTGGCAGGCTTTTTGATCTTATAGACACCTTTCAATCCATCTGGCCTTTATTTTCTTAATTTCTCCTTTATACATGGTGGGCCATTTCAAAATAATGACAATGGTTGCAGACATTTTTTATAAGTCATTATATGTGGTGACAAAGAAGGAAACTGCTACGGGTCTGTGACTGGATGCTCCCTCCCTTAGCTGGGATTCTTGTCCTTTGCATCCTGCATTGCTACCTGTGCAACTGAATAGACCCCCCGAGGCCTGGATTTCCAGGAAGGGGCATTTAGTATGCAGCTGGCCTCTCCCCACTGATGGCCACCTGCCGAAGTCAGTGACATCCCACACATTTGCTTCAGCAGGAGGACTGCCACATGCTGCTCCCACAATCTGGACGAATGGATTTTTTTTTTTTTTTTTTTAAATCATCAGTACCATCTTCCCACTACTAACAAGACTGTGGCGGTTTTGGAGAAAAACCAGGAAGAGGAATGGAGAGGGAAGAATACCAGTCCTTAAATGACTCGGCATGGAAAATTGGGGCCTGGGCATGGAATGCCACCTGCTCCCAGTGCTTTGCTTTTCTAAGGAAGTACATGTAGCTGACTTCAATCTCACCTGCTTAGTAGATCTCCTGTTGTTTTGTTCGTAGGTCCTTGAAATTATTTAACTAAAAGCCAATAAAGATGAATTTGAATTTGTTTTTTTCAGGAACAGATCCTCAGGGTTTGAGTGATAGTCATTTCCCCTTTCTTTTTAGAGTACTGTTATCCAAAATATATAAAGGTGCATTTTAGATTTTGCTGTGGAGCCCTTCGTAATTTTAAATGCTGGCTGTCATTTATATCATTTAAGCAGCTCATCGGCACTTACGAGCTGCCTGCTTCTGTCTCAGCCAAGGTAATATTCGCAAATTCTCCTTGAATCCATATATCCAGTGTTTTTCAGCTTGGACACATATGTATTCGAGTTACAGCACTGGAAGGGATCTGACTGATCTTCCAGTTAAATTCCATCATTTTACAGTTGAAAACACCAAGACTGAGAAAGACCACTCATTGTGAGAAGCTACAACTTTGTCCCTGGTCTTCTGATTCCTAGTCCAACATTCTTCCTACAGGGCACACTCTCACGTCTTCATGTGATTTTTTTCAAGGACACACCAGTTTCGGTGTAGGATGAAGCAAGAATCTTGCCTGTTACAGTTTAAAGTAACTAGATAACCAGACGAAATTCCCACATACAACCAAGAGGAGGGGCAAAACCTCTTGAAATTCCACTTTAACAAGCTGGACTGGGTCCTTATTATAATAAGTTCCTTATGCCCTTCTGGCTGATCAATAAATTATTAGCTTAGGACTCAAAGGAGAATGAGATGGATTTGCTTTTTACAAACTCTGCTCCACAGCCCACATTGTTTAGATGATATTCTAGCTTATCCTTAAAATATGTGCTCATGTGTGGCAGTTTCGTGAGGAACAGAAATGCAGAAACTCCATGTGCGTGAAACAGGTCAAAGAGCAGTGGGTGAGCAGCTGAGAAGTGGGAACCAAAACACCTTTATTTATCTGATTAACATGCAATATTTACTTACTTGAATCCTAGGAAAAGCCACTGAAGCCAGATCCAGGACAATAACAGAATAATAATAGCAGCCGGGAAGGAAAGCATGAACCATGATCCAAAGTTAATGCAATGACAGTCAGGGTAGCGCCTGTGCAAAAAGACAGAAAAAGGTGCTTGGGAGCGTACAAGTGTAATCCCTCCTGTCAGTCCTTGGGAAGCAATAGTTCACGTCCTTCCAGGGGCTCCCAGGCAACAGGGAAGATGTGGGACCTTCTCATCATTAAGTATAGCATTTGGCTTTACCTCTTACCTTTTGTCCTGATTCTGTAACTAATAATGGTTGCTGCTTCCCATCCACGCAAGAGTGAGTCTGCTGTGATTTTTGTTCCTTTGTTTGATCTGTAAGGAAGAGCTTGGGAAAGCTAGCACAGTGCCTGACACTCACTGAATGCACCAGAAGTGGGAGTGCATGGGTATGCGTGCCTCTTGTTAGCTCTCAAAGTATCAGTATGTGAGTGGGGTGAGCCGAGCGGACATGGGAGCAGATGAAAATGAACTTCACGGACCTGAATGTCGGCTACCACTTCACAATGGTGGCTGGCACTGCAGGCACTTGGGAAGGGACTCTGATCCATCCATATTGTCTCCTATAGTTGTTTACCCGCTGTTTCCTCTGCCTTGAAGAAACTGTAACCCATCTTACCAGGCATATGCTAGCCTTTTCTTCTTAGAATTAGACAGTGCTTTGGGGATCAGTCAAATGGAACAAATCTGGACCAGATAAAAACAATTAAAAGTTTTTCTCCTAGTTATTTTCAGGTTTTTAGCCCACATAATCACAAAACAATAACAAAAAAATTGGGGGGCGGTGGTCAGAGACAAATAGGTTTTTTCTGGTGACCTCACATTTATGTTTCCAAAATGTAGTATAAATTCCAAATAAATTCTCATATAGTTATCTATTTTATGACAGAAGAGGGAAAAACAGGAAACTTGAAAAACATTTGTCCTTGTTTTTTTCTTCACACAATGACACAAAGACAGAGCTGGAACTTTGGAAAGTTCAGAAAATACACAGAAGCAATAAAACAACATTAACATATTTTAATTATTTTTGAAATTACAAAATATAAAGAAATTTATAGAAATGATAGATTTTAAATTCTTGTTCTATTTGAAATTACATTCAAATTTATTTTTGAATTTACATTTGAAAATCTATTTGAATTTATATTTACAATCAATGTAAATAAACAAAATGTTTCATGCTACATGCATCAACATAAGCCACATTTTTATACTTTATAAATTGTTTCTCCTTCTATTTTAGGATGGTTGCTAAGTAATGCAAAGAGTTTTAAAAAGTAATGGGTTTTTAAAACTCTAGATTTCTAATGTTTTCTACAAATTTCCTTGAGGTTATAAGAAGTTGTGGGTACTAGAGTTATCATTAGCAAGTTGAGGATGATTATTATCTACCACAAGAAGATCCAAAGCTTAGCTTACATATTATGCAATTAGAAATGACAAATGATAAATAAGATGTGCTTGAGAATACAGAGAATTGATGAATGGAAAAATGCTTTATCATGCCCATGAGCTTCTACTGAGAGTTGCTCACTTAAAAAAAAAAAAAAAAAGTTTGTTGTTTTCAGTTGGAAAATGCAATAGGGAGGAAAGGCTTAAGCTTACTTCCCATCAAGTTATTAGACTTGGACTACAGGTTGATGACGTGTGTTACTCTGTTCAACCTAACGGCATTTAGAAATGTTACTAGAAGTAGGGTCAAAACAGTACCCTAAGTCCAATTTCATTTTTCACCATCTGTGACTCATACCTTGAGATCAGGCTGTGTTGTTCTTTCCACCCAATCCTGTAAAATTTGTTTAACTGAAGAAGGGTTTCTTAGAATTTTTGCCTGGAGGAATAGTTCATTTAGAAAAATGAAAGCCTGAAAAAGCAAAATTCTGTTTTGTTTTTGTTTCTTTCTTTAGCAAGGATGTGAATACCACATAGGACAGTGGCCTCCATGATCATAACCTTTATACTTGTGTCTGTGTGAATATTTCAAATGATAATGGAATGAACGGCATACTGTGAGGTATTAGTTTCACTGTTTTTTCCCCCACTTCCTCATACCCTGTATAAGTGAAGTTACTACAAGTATCTTCCTAAAGTAAATATAGAATTATTCCATCATGAACCATGTTAAGTACAATTAATTCTGATAGAATCTTTTCTTTCACCCAACAGTGTATTTTTGGATGTCTACCATGTATCAGGCACTCTTCTAGATATTGAGGATATAGTGGTGAATTAGATGGATGTGGCCCAGGCTCTCATAAAGTTTACTTTTAAATGAGGAGCACAGGCAGTAAATAGGTAAGCATAAAAAGAATCAGAATCAGAAAATATAACAAAATAATGTAATAGAAAGTTACTAGAACAAAGGAGAAATTTTAGAGTGTGGTTAAAGAGGATAATATTGGAAATGAGATCTAAATGGCAAGAAGGAATAGGTCATGTAAATAACTGGGAAACAGCATTCCAGAGGAAGTGGCAAGTACAAAGGCCCTGGGGTAGGAGTAAGTGTAGAATGTTTGAGGATAAGAAGGCCAGTGTGTCTGTGGGTAGTGAGCTAAAGTTAGTGACTTGAAATAAAGTCTAAGAAGTAGCCAGTAAGGGTCAGATCATATAAAAACTTGTAGGCCATCAGAAGGAATTTGAATTTTGTACAAATGCAATTACAGGTAACTGGAACATAGTAAATAAGTTAGTGATATGATCTAATTTAAAGTCTACATAAATTTGTGATTTACATAAAACATACTGCTTAGATGGATCCTTAGGATTGAAGGCAACAAGAGCAGAAGCCAAGGGGTGATAGACAGAATTCCAAGATGACCCCTTATTTTCTGCCCCTGGTATACATTTCTTGTATAATCCTCTCTCCTTCTGTGTGGGTAGAATTTGTGAATATGGTGAGATTTCAATCCTGTGATGAAGTTCTTTTATGGAAAAAGTGAAGGGACTTTGCAGCGGTCACCAAGGTCCCCATTATAATAGAATTTGAGTTATTTAAAAGGGAGAGTTGGATAAATCTGAGTTAATCAGGTGAGCCTTTAAATGGCAGCCTTTCCTGCTGGCCTAAAGAAGTGAGCTTTCATGTAGCCAGAGAAGGGGCTAAGTAACAAGGATCTAGGCATAGCCTCTAGAAGCTGAGGATGATTCCCTGGGCAATAAAATGGGCACCTTGGTAATTCAACCACAGGTAACTGAATTCAACAACCCGAGTGATCTTGGAATAGGGCACAGACTTTCTGTGGAGATCTGAAGGCCAGGTGCCACCTTGATTTCAGCCTGGTAAGATCCTAAGCAAGGGACTCAGATAAGCTTGGTCAAGAAATCCTGACCCACGGAAATTATGAGGTCATAAATTCATGCTGTTTTAAAGCCACTAAGTTAATGGTAATTTGTAAAGCAGTAATATAAAACAAATACACAAGGAGATTTATTAGAAGACGAAGTTTGGCAGAGGAGTGGGGGTAGAATAGAGTAGGAAGTAGAGTAAATTTTAGCTGAAGTCAGATTGGTAGCAGTGAAGATGAAGAGAGGACTATTGATTTTAAATATTTTGGGGACAAAATGTGGAGAAATGGGGGGCTAAGTGCCACTTATTGAAATGAAGTTTGAGGGAAGAACAGGTTGGAAGACTGGTAAGAGAGTGGTGGGTCAAAACACTGCAAAGGGCGTGTTAACCTGAGATGTCCCTTAGGTTTCCAAGTGGTCATGCTGGACAGGCAGTTAGATAAGTGAGTTTGGAATTGAGAGCAGACAGCAGGTTAGAGTTGTTACCAACAACTATAGGTAGTTACCAACACTGTAACTAGGTACATAGGTAGTTACCAACATTTGGTAGTTACCAACATTTGGTGATATTATAAACCACAGAAATGGGTGTGAAAATTTTAGGAGAAAATGGAGATAAGAGGAAAAGGGAGTGCACCCTGGGGCATCTAAGTTTTAGAGGTCAGGCAGAGGTTTAGGTATGAGCAGATGAGCTAAGCACATTTAATTTTAATGCTAACACAAATCCTGTGAGGAAAGCATTATATTTCCATTTTACACAGGAAGATACGAAGTCTCAGAAGGTTAAATGGATTGTTCAAGGTCACAGATTGTACAATTCAAGCGCAATTTTTACCCCAGGAGGAGTATTTAAAATACAATGTCTTTTCATTAAAGCCCGGTGTCCTCAACTCTGGTCCCCAGATGAAAATAGAAAGTTCCATGTATATTGTGAAATATCCATAAGACAGGGTACAAAATATCCATAAGTCAGGTACAAAAAAAAAAAAAAGACATTTTAGAACACTATTGAAATGATTTCACCATACTCCAGACATGCTTTGACCTGAAGCATGTGGGCCCTGTCATTATTGAAGCTCAGGAAGATAGTCTTGTTAGAGTTCTTATGCCCAACAACAAAATGATGATAGCACTGATACTAATGAAATACTCAGAAGTGGCCTTAAAAGAATTTATGTAGTTGTGGAAATTTACAGATTTGAAATCAGTCTTGGCCTTGAGAGCACTCTAAGCTGTGTCCACACTGATTATAGTCCTTTTGATTAATGACTGCCTTGATATTTCTGAGTCAAAGCCACTTTTCGGTTTTGTATTTGTGTATTTGCAGACGTTTCTTTTCAAATATTAACTACTTGTTGTTCATGAGCCAAGCTTATATTTTTAATAGCAATAGCAAAAACAGGATCAGCAGCAACAGCAGCTAGCGTGACTGACAATTTCCTAGGTGCCAGGTCCTCTCTCTAAGAGCCATGCGTGCATTATCCCATTTAATCCTCACAATAATAGTTCTAGTATTGCCCCATTTTGCAGATGAAGGAACTGATGTTCACAGAAGTTAAGCTAATAATTGGAAAGACTGAAATCTGAGCCAAGGTCTGAGTCCAAACTCTGCAATACTCAAATTTCTTCTATAGTATTTGCCAGAGAAATTATTTCTGAGAAATAATAATTGCTCATCTTTCCAGAGGAAAATCATGGTAACTTTTGAAGATAGCTATTGCTAGGTAACTGGCTTACCTTCTCCTTGCATAATTAGCCAAGAAGAAAGGTTAGGAAGGT